GACTAGCTGATTCTCAAATTTTGTCCAGGGCAAAATTTTTGTGACGTAGCTTGCGTGCATATGTTGAGTTATAATGCACGCGCGTGACGTAAGCAGAGTGCTTTATGGAGCTATAATGAACTTGAACTGACCAATCACAGCGCGCGCAATTACTCGAACATTTTATAAATCTTAGTAATGTCTTTCATTTTTTTCACGATAATACAGTTTTATCCTAATTAAAAGAATAACTTGTAAGCCACACATGTATGCACTATGGACCTATTTTTCTACATGTTTTCACCTTCTTCTAGTATAAATCCATGCCATTTCTTATTTTTGGTCGGGATCATTTGCGGTCCAGTATGGGGATCATTTCCAGTCTGGGATCATTTGTGGTCCTGGGATCATTTGCGGACCTGTATAGTTGAACTGTTGCTATTCGATATTTGACAGCCAGTTATAAAAGAAGTGTGTTTGTAATAGATTTGGCTTTAAAAGATAAAATGTTCATAGCATTTCTGAAGAAATATCTAAGAAATAAGATGAGAAATAGACCTTCCTTCTCAAAATCAACATAATTACAATTTCTCGCATTTTAAACATTCCAAACAAATATAAATTCTACCGAAAATCAATCAATGTATTCATTCCATGTCAGTACATCTACAGGTATATAAAAAAATACTTGCTAAACAACCATAATCCTCCTGGACAATGGTTCATTCACTCGTTGGCAGTTAGCGATAGGAACAACTAGTATTATTAGTATCCCAATCATCTCATAGTTTTGCTTACAAAAGAGACAACATCATGCTACGTTTGAAAAGTTAATAAGTTGTTTATCATATGGCTTTTGGTTTTGTTTAGATGGCTTTTTGCTTTGTTTTTCTTCCTTTTGTCTCTAGTTATAGAAACAGTTTGAATAGTTTCAGAACACTTCAAAAAGTTGTGTAAACACTCATCTGTAGCATGCATTCTCACAGCTATTCGCATTCTCTCAAACCTCCGCTTACAATAATTGCTGATCTTGGCTTGCTAGGTTCTTTTATATTCATTTATATTATAGATAGGTCCCTGCACGTGCTCTGATTGGTCAAAAACCCATGTTTTATCAGAGTAGAAAACATAGAAAAAGCGTGTTTTATTGTTTTGTGTGTGTAAAATCTCTGTTATGAAGCAAATGAAGAAGCCTGAGCCGTGTATTACACTGTGATAAAACACTCCAGACATATGAGAACACTTCAGAAATGTTGAAAACACTCGCCTGCGGCTCTTGTTTTCAAAATTTCCCTTTTGTTCTCAAATGCCCGTTATGTTACAACCAAAACATTTCCTAGAAACAGTCCAAACATGTAAATTGCAATATGAATGTAACAGATCAAACAAACCTTTCACTTTCCAATCCTTGTCTCCTGACATAATTACTTGGAATGTAACCCTGCTCCCTAAATAATAATATTATAAACTTTAATTTATTATTATACCTCTAATTAGTACATGCAATAGTATATGCACTGTGAGTGGCCAGTTTAGTAGGCTATATTCTACTGTAGAGTGCACTTAAATTTGAAGCTGTTCCTGATCTTGTCAAACAGAGATACTAAACCTTGTATTCTTGGTCTGCACTAGCTGTAAGTTACAGATCCTCATTTTCTCCCCTTCAATTTGTGGCCTGTGCACTTCATGCTAAGACCATAAATTGATGGTTCTAATTTACAGCACTACACCATATCAACAATTCCAGTCTCACAGGGTGTTCATTACACTTTGAGGGTTGTCCAATAATCCTGAACTGAGTCAGAATGACAACAGTGGTGAAAGATCTTTCTCACCAGAAGTTATTTCGCAAGAAGAACAAACATTGTCTGTAGCGTGAACATTTGTGTTTATATACTGTTTAGTGTGTTTTTGAACATGCACTTATAGGACAGAGAATATACATTATGTGTAGCATGTTTGTGGCCTCATGATTTTACAATGAGGAACATTGTTTGTGGCATGCCAAGAATATGATATCCTGACCTGACTACTGGAATGTCAGATCAACTCTAGCTGTGACGGGTCATCATGATCTATCAACATATTAACAGCCATTCCTTCCTTGGCAAGCTGACCTCCGGTAAATTGAGTTCACGTCCAATAATTGGAATATAATATAATTGAATATCACGACCTGACTTCTTGTAAGATGGGTCAACTCAAGAAGAGTTAACCCAACTCAGTTCAGGTGTATTGGACATGGATGGTAAATCTCCAAGCTAAAACAGCAGGGTTCTCCATGAGCACCAACAGCCACCAAAAATGACCGTCTAGTATATAGTCCTGGGTGTGCCAGCAATTCTCAAGATTTTCCAAGACACAAAATGTACATAAGGATCATTCTCAAAAAGTCTTCTTGCTTTAAATACCTTTTCATTTACTCTCCTAGCTGAAAATTTGGGGTCTTTATTTCTGTCATGTCTTGAAAATCGTGAAAATCTCCAAATTAACTATTGCAAAAATATGTAACAATAAAGTACTAAAAACTGAACTGGAGGTTGTGAATTCTCAGTGGGGGCCACTACGGGTCATTCTCTGCTTACTTTAATTTTTTTGGGAGAACCCTGATAACAGTGCAACAGAATGTGGGTTCTGTTGGGATATCCTTTTAATTTGTGGGAAAAATACTATGGCTTGTGTTTTCAACAGACAGACATCACTGAAAACACCTTAATTATATTAAAACAAAGACAAACCCTCTGGAATTTTTGGCTATCCACCAATGATCTTGCTGTTTATCAACAATTGTAAGATGTTCTCCCTAAAAGAAAGTCAGCAAACATTGAATAAATTGATTTAAATGATCATATAAATGTAATTAAGAAAGTAGTAATAAATAGAACAAGAAAGAAATAAGTTATAGTCCCTGTTACTTTAAGACTATGCAGGCCAAAGGGGCCACCACCTTTGAGTAGTTTATTTTCTGGCAGCTGCTTTTTTCACATATATGGTTGAATGATAATTGAAATTTAGCAGTCATTTTAAACAAGGTGAATGCAAAATATGTAAAAAAAATACTATGTAAATAATAATATCATTTTATCCCACATTTCAACTATTTTGCTGCTTTTGAAAAAAGTGCCTGGACTTTTTCAAAATTTTGCTGTAGAATGCAGTATATCATGGGTTTCCATATCAAGGAAACTGTGTTTTGGTCATGCTATTCATTTACCTGAAAAATTTGGAGTATTTTTTTTGGCAACATTTCTGAAACACTTCTTGTATTGTGAAAAAGTCATGCAAAAGGTAACTGTTGAATATCGCTCTTCGCTCTTGCGATATTTCAGCAATATATCGACTAGTAATAATCATGGATTAGCTGAGTGCATTCGAGTCAGTACAGTTAAAAGCATTGGATACTGCCAGAATAATTATATTGTCACACTACGTTCCTGGTTCTGACATTTGCTGTGTGTAATTTTGGCCAGTATCATCCACCATACTCTGACATAATGTTCTGTACTCATTCTAGCCATGCAAATTTGCAAGGGCAAATCTGCAGTTTTATAGGGCTGATGTGAAACAGACTTAAAGAAAACAATCACCACCGCCGGTACCATGAACATCCTATGGAATTTAAGGCTTTCACTTAGGCAGCCCCAGGCTAAGTCTCCATTGACATCTCCAGGAAACAAATCTCCTTTTAAACAATTATCGCAATAATTTCCAGAATACTGATATGTAGTACACTGTATACAGCGGTTATTGCCATGTGCGCACGCTCATTAACGTATCCTCTTGTGTCTGCCATCTTGAGTTACAAGCGTGTGTTCTTCCTCTCCAAAAACATAACATTTCTGTCAAGGAAAAGGTTGTTGTTATTCATCGTGGTGGATGCAATAATAAAGTGTATTATCGTTTGTCTCATGATGTAGTTACTTGAGATGTAGATCGCGACGTTTCGACTGCTTACTGCTAGTCTTCTTCTTTAAGCCTCCACCATCGCCAGTGAAGAGATCCAGGACCACGAGATCATGGTGTCTTTCGACGTAGAGTCACTGTTTACCAACGTACATATCAAGGGCGCCGTACAAGCCGCGCTACAAAAAATGGAGAACGATGCAGGCCTGGCTGACCGCACTACACTTACACCGGTTCAAATCGCGGACCTCTTGAATTTCGTATTAAGATCTACGTACTTCCAGTACAACGGATCGATTTAC